TACCACACTGAAATATCTGAAAACATCAACCTCATCCTGGCCCACTCCTGCTTAAAACATTTTAATGACTCTCAATTCCTTTAGATTTTTTCTACTGGATCTGGGTATAGAGAAAAAGAAAGCCTGGTATATACATGGATTTTTCATCAAATCTCTGTTTTCTCCCCTTTTAAAAATTTCTTTTAAGGATGCAAGTTTTGCATTTGAATTACCTCATTTAAAATAAATTTGGAAAATGTTCCCCAAAGTATTAAATGAAATTGCCACTTCTCAAAAATGTTTTGTATTTTTCAGTGGCCTTCACACACTGCCATAAATTTCTGTTTCTGCATACACACCTGTTTGTGCTGAGGAAATACTGGAACCACAAGGTAAAGTTCACACCCCTGTGTATTATATAAAAAGCCTTTGTGATCTTGTCCTGTTGTCTCCTTTGTCATTGTTCCCTACATTGGAACTTTGGTCTGGATGCTTTGAGTTTTCTTGAAAACAAAAATGAGTGTTTGCTTTTTTTGATCATACAATTTAAAAAGTAATCTTTTGTACAAAAGTTTAAACAACACAGAAACACCTAAAGGAAGTCAGATTTATGTAAAGCTTCTTACACCCAGAGTTAATTACCTTAGATATTATTCTTTCATATATATATATATATATATATGTATATATACACATGCATGTATAGACAAATATGTTTCTGTCTATATTTACACACATATAGATACATAGACACACACATAGTTTTACATCCATAGTATACAAATGTTACTTTTCTGTACTCATCTTTTGTTTGATCTTATAACTTTTTTACCACCTCACTAGTTAGTTAAACCTGTTAACCCACCCAAGTTAACAGCTCATCTGGTCCACATGAGCTTATACAAAAACATAAATATGTATTAGACATTTCTTGGGGAAATGTTTAGAAAATATGAGGTCCCTTCCTATGCATTTTCTAACTGCTTTACTCATTTGAAATTGCATTACTTTATTTAAAAGTTCAGTGGTACAGATGTGACTTGTTCCTCTCACCTGTTGCTCGCTTTTCTGCTGCGAGGACCTGGTATCTCACTGCATATGTCTTTCAGGCTCTCATAAGTGGATACTGAGGCCATTTCCAGTTTGTCCTTCCATTTCCCTTTTCTTTAATGCAATGTTCACAGAATTCTGTTTATTAATTTAGGGAGAATCAATATTTTATGCTAATAAAATTTCCATCAAGAATATAGTATATAATTCCTTTAACTAGATCTTGCTTTATATGTCCTTTAATAAAATTTTTTTGTCTTATTTTGAGTCTAATTTTTCTTATCCAAAAAATATCCAAAACTTTTGTAGTTATTATTGTCAGGAAACATTAAAACTTTTTTTCATTTCTATTTTGAAAAAGTTATTTCTGTGGTTGGGATAAATAATTGAGTTTTTGAAAATCATCCATCACATTTCCAATCAGTCCACCAAATTCCCTCTAAGCTTTTGCACTTTGATTCCCAGTCTCCTTGAACAATTCTAATTCCCCACACAGACCCTCAGTGGCTTTGCTCTTTCTGGAAGGTCCTTCCCTAAATGACTGACTCATTCAGTGGGGAAGCTGACTGACCCAGCCTGCCTCCTCCAAGAAGCCTCCCTGGGATGCTGATTGTTGGCAGGGCCTTTATTTGTGCTTTCCCAGCACCTCTGTAAATTCATATTGCTTCTGTTTGTTGCCTTACCTCCTAGCCATCTGATTTGGTGTATAATCTCACATAGAGGACTTTAAACTCTGTGAAGTCATGGGCCAGATATTAAACAAATTGATATTCTCAGAAGCTAAGTGCTGTGTCTGGAACATAGTCACACTCACACACACACACACACACACACTCACACACACAAGTGCAGATTGAAGAATTGTTAGGGAATCGTTGTTAATGTCATGCCAGAAAGACCTAAATTTTTAAGGATTTCCTAACTTCCGCTCTGTTATTCTTGATGTTTATAAATGTCACAGATATAACTTATTTAAGTTCTTTAAGTTCACTGAGTTCATGTATTAGCACTTTATGTGAAAATCGGGATAAGGTTGGAAGTTTGGACTAGATACAGAAATCTTAACTACTGATGGCAAGTTCATTCACATAATGAATTATTATTTATTGAGCACATACTATCTTTTCACTCTGACCTCACATGGCAGAGAGGTTGAATGAGTTCCCCTGAGACTCCTTTTGAAGGACACTAATCCCATCCATGAAGGTTTCGCTCATGACCTAGTCATTTCTCAAAGGCTCTAAGACCTATCACCTTTCGAGTTAGGATTTTGACATATCCACTTGGACAGGGAAGAGCACAAACATTTAGAAAATAGTGTGTACATCGGGCCGGATGTGCTGAGAACTGTGGACATGATCCCTTAGAGAGCTTGCAAAAATCAACATTGGACTATGCAGTTTGAAGAATGTATTCAGAAATTTCTAGTGGCACTGGGCACTTTCAAACCCTCCTTTAATATATTTGTTCCTACAATGGGAACCCCCACCAGTTCATTTTTCTTTTAGAGTTGTTATTAGATCATACTGTGCCTTGGTACAAATTTCAAAAATATCCCACCATATTCTGGAAAGATAATGAAAACAACATTCTCATTTATCTTCTTGGCTCTTTTCATTGGCTGATCGGGTACATGATGACTTTACAATAAATCAGCTATCAGAAGTTTTAATTAAAGAAAATAAGTTTATTTCTCTCTATTCTCTCTTTCCCTGGAGAGTGAACTGTGGTACACTACATATTGCCCCAAAGATGTCTGTGTCCTAAACCATACAGCCTATCATTATATTACTTTACATGACAAAGGGAACTTCACATTGTGATCATTTCAGGACTTTGAGATGGGAAGAGTATACCATATTTTCAGGTGGTCCAATGTGATCACAAGACTCCTTCTGAGAGGAAGGCAAGTCAGGTTGAGAGAGACAGATGTAATGATGTTACTGTTGCTTTAAAGATAGAAGAAGCAAACCAGGTGTGGAGATGCACATCTGTAATTCCTGCACCTTGGGAGACTGAGGCAGGAAGATTATAAGTTTGAGCTCAGCCTGGATAACATAGCAACTTAGCAAGAGCCTGTCTCAAAATGAAAATATAAAAAGACATTGGGGATATACCCCAGTGTGAAGGCCCCAAGTTCAATCTCTACTACTACCCATCCTCCACCCCAAAAAAAGACAAAGGAAAGAAGAGAGGAAGGAGGAAAAAAAAGAAGAGAAAAGAGATGGAGGAAGGTACCAAAAGCCAATGAATGCAAGTGCCCACAACTATCTAAAAAGGACAAAGAAATAGCTTACAGTTTTTCCTTACAGGCTCTGGAAGAACCACAGCCCTGCTCATGGCTTGATTTTGAACTAGTAAAACCCACTTTGGACTTCTGACCTCCAGAACAAATGTGTGTTGCTATAAGCCACCAAGTTTGTAGAAATTTATACAGCAGCAGTACAAAACTGACACAGGAACCAAGTGTCCTGGCTCAGGTGTTGACTGTAGTAGGTTCTTTGGGGAAGTCTGACTAGGTGAACTGTGGTGGGATACCTAACTTGGGGAGAGAGCAGTTCCCTACCACATTTTATAAAAGTCAAGAGTCAACCAGGAAGATCTAGTAGCAACCACAGTCCCAAAATTAAGAATCATAAAAAGGGACATAAATTCAAGCATCAGGAGCCAAGGAGAAACTGGAAGGAGAAACACAAGAAGTAGCAAGGTACACAGAGGGTAGCTTCAAGGAACCTTATTAGAGTACAGTAACCAGAGTTCACATTTGTCAGACCATGAACATCAAATGCCTAGGAAAGTCTGGCAGACTTAACAAACCCCTTAACAGGGATATCTTATTTCTGAGGACCTTATACCAATTAGCAAATGTACTTCAGGTCATCCGTCTACTAACTTCATGACCTGCGTCTCTCAACTATTGCTTTACTGATGCCGGAACCAACTTAAGAAGGGAATACTAGCTAGTGACAAAGAGTTAACTTCATCTCTCCAGCCTCGAGAGCCCATCCCCTCTGCCACTCCAGAACACCCTCCTTTTAGGAACGGTTGTTACCTAAATGGTTATATGGACAGTTCAAAACAGACAAACCTCATGACATCATTTGATACTGACTCTGTCAGTGAGAACTTGAAAATGAAGTTAAAGATTAAGCAGCAAAGCCAAATCCAGGCACCCTGTTCTGAGAATATAGGGTCAAACCTGGTTGCTGTCTGATCACCACGTAGCTCATTGGTTATCCTTGTGAAACCCTGTGGAGTTATCCAAAAGGGAAGAAGGTACAGAAACACTCTATTTTCAAGGTGACCTTATAGTCAAGGGCTTCTCTACTGGTTTAATGGTGGTAAGAGTGTTTCTCCTTTTGGTGAAGATGCTAATTACAAGTCTCTCAAAGATCTCTTAGTGGGTGGGAACTGCTTCAGAAGAACTAAGAGGAAAAACATTATTTACAGGTTAAGGATTGCCATTTGGGAATGGGATCTGATTTCAAAAGGAAGAAGAGACTTTCTTAAGAAGGTAACTGGCTTAATCAGCACTTAGAGTAAGGCTTGAGAGGACATGACCAACAACACAGTGAGCAGGGATCATCTCCACAAGTCCTGACTTCAGGACAAGTCAGACCGGCTTTGAATATGGAACGAAATGCTGCATAAGGTCCGGTAAGGATTGGGTTTGGGACTGTGACTGATGAGCCTTTTCAGATTTCTATGTATATCTGAACTAATCTCTCAAGAAAAGGAGAACATGAAGGAGGATGTGAATAAAAGTGAGGGCGAGGAAATGTGTGTGCTTACAGAGCTCAGCCTTTTAGCACCTTTTAGCAATGTGACAGGAAGCCGGAGGGGCAGAGGCATGAAGGTGCCACCTCCGAACCCTCCCAGAGAAAATGCTGCTTCCAAAACATAGCTCCTGCCTGGAGGAAAGGTACAGGGTGCCTGCTGTAACTGTACCTTAGCTTTGGTATTATCTTGTCTTTTCCATTTGCCCATCATTGTGGCTCAGTACACTTTGTCTTTTGCTGTGATTCAATCATAAATAAATTAACAATGTGCCATAAAATTAGATGCTGGATTAACCAATTTTATTCCAGAACTACAGGTCTTTTAGCAAAGCAGCCTGGGCCTTAGTGCTGCTCACTTTGCAGAAACCCGTCTTCACACGTTCTCTGAAATTGGTGGCAAGGTAAACCCTCCCCTATCCATCTTGTGGATTCCAGCACAGAAGAAATTACTTTAAAAAGGAAACCAATTTAGCAACCAATCAAAACACATTTTATTTGTTGTAAACCTGTACTTATTCATGGACTTACAAGGGCCCAAGTGCTAAAGTGGCTGTGGTTATTATTGCTGTTATTCACATCGATAAACTTTTTACAGAGTATAATATTTTACAGTGCACAGGGCATATCTCATACCTTTGTTTCCACTCCAAATAGTCTTGTGAGGTAATATTTTATCTCCATTTTCTCCTATGAAACTTTTGAAGCTTGAAGAGTTTATGAAACTTGCTCTGGTTTTCGAAGATCCACAGTGGCAATGTGGAACTCAGGCCCCGAGTCCCCTCTAGTCTGAAGGATCATGTTCTTTGAACTTTGAATTTACCCTAAGTAAACCAGGAGCCTCAGTTCACACGGATGATGCAAGGCAGGTTGAATGTTGAGTGAAAACTAGAGGTGTAGAAAGGCCACTAAACAAAATCATGAGTTCTAGACTAAGAATAGGAAAAGCACCATTCTTTGGCTTATACATAAACCATGTCTATATTATTAATTTTATCTCAAATACAGCCTATACTGTGTCAGAAAATTGTTTACTCAGTATAAAATTTTTCTAACAATTTCACTTCAATTTTTCTATGTCTACTTACAGCTTTAACACTAGGATTCACTGTGTTTTTTTGCAATCATCACTCCTGAATGGGAAAGTTTTGACAAAATTCATGTTCTAATTGTTTACAATTAGCCTATGAATTATTCTACTGTCTCAAAGTGCATATCAATCACTCTGGTGCTCACATCCCATAATTTCACAAGCTCTTGTGATTGTTTTAGAAAAATAGTTTCCATTACTATGTCATAGAAACATTCCAGTTTAGAATGGATATTATCTAGATTTCTATATTTGTCTCATGAAAAGGATCAGGAAATAAATGATTGAAAGTTACTGAGACAAATAAAAATAACTGAAACTATAAAAGCAATGTGAAGTGTTTTGTTCTTTCCCTTTAGACAGCAAGGGAGAATGGAAAGAGAAATTGAAATAATAGGGTTATGATACTATCCCACTAGCAGAAAAAGCAAGAAGAAGCAGAGGGTTTTTGTTTAATATTCAAAGCTCAACTTAAAAGTGTTTTTCATCATTAAATTTCCTTCTGGAGTAAAGGATCAAAACTTCATGGAAAATTGTATGAATTTTCATTTAGAACACATTAATGTGAAGCCATTCTATTTTGTTTTGAGCTTATACTTAAAATATTAAGGAAATAAAGAGGAAGTAGCTGTAGCAGTAGAAAAAGCAGGAGTCCAGGCATTACAAGACCTGGTGCTGGTTCTGTGACCTGAGTGTCTTGAGGTAACTCTTCAAGCTTTCTGCACATTAGTTTCCTTATCTGTAAAATGAGCATTTGGGTCAGAGGATCTCTCAGTCTCTTTCAGCTTGAGAGCCCAGTGCTTATGAGTCATTGGAGAAGTCGATGGGAAGGCTTTACATGTAGTATAAATATGGTAGGGGTATGTAAAGCTAAAAAGTAGCCTTCTTCCAAGTCACGGGTTCTTACCTAACAAGAGAAATCAAATAGCAAATGATGAAATTCGAAAGTTTTGCCCAGATGGCTTCTGCTAGGATCTGAGTGCAGAGCAGTGGAGTAAACTCCTGTTATCATCCTGATGCTAGTAGAACCTAGGAACCTTCCAGGCCAAGCAACAGCCAACGTTTGTCCTGGTGCTAATCTCCCCTTGCTAGCAGTGCAGGCTTGATTTGGGATTATTGCTGCCAGATGAGAGAATTGCAAAACTCGGATGGGTAGACATTATTCTCAGAACTGTGGGCTATTTGGGAAGCAGAAAAATATTCTGAGCAGCAGAAAATATTATATATTTATATATATGTAAAAGAAGCAAATATATTTTTATATATTTATATTTATAAATTTTACATATATGTAGATTTTATTATATATATAATCCATCTCCATGGAGAATTTGGTTAATATGCAAATATAAAACTAAACATGCTTATTTGGAATCATGAATTCTCTTAGCCTATCAAAAAAGCTGGATTATTCATTAATGTAATTAAAATCTCCCATTCAGTATGATTTTGTAGGTGAGTGTCCAGGGATTTAGCTCAGTGGTACCACACCTGCCTTGCAAGCACAAGGTCCTGAGTTCGATCTCCGGTACAAAAAACAACAACAACAATTCTGTAGATGACTGAAGATTTTGTCAGCCCAGTAAGGTGTCCAACTGGTGTGTAGCAAACAGCATTTTAAACCTTTACATGTAATATATATATGATGCACAATAGCTTCTTTCATATTCAAAGACACCATGGAACAGAGTTCTGGTTGTCCTGAGGAAAGAGACATATGGTCAGAAAGGAAAAAAAGCACTGCTCTTGGGCTGAATTTAAATGCTCTATCTCATGACTGTTACAAACTTCTTACCTTTGCATGGTTCTCTACGGTCTGATAAAACCTTTACAATTTTCTTCCTTAATTTTTATAGTATCATTTGGAAAGGAGTTTTATCATTACTGTGCATATGAGAAAATGGATAGCTAGGGAATTTAAGTGGCTAGGTCTAAGGATTTATACTGAAATTTCTTTATAAAAGTACAGTCTTCCAAAAGCATAGCAGGAGTGCACTGGAAAATGGAAATAATACAGCTATGTTAGATCAAATTTTCTACTAATGACTATAAGAGGCAACATTAACAAGAAGGAAGGATTTGTGTGCATAGTTTGGATTCTGTTCTCACCACAGATAAAAGCCTGTCGTGGTAGGAGAAATTCGGGGGAGCGGGAAATTCCACCACAAAGTGTGGTACCAATTCCTGTAGAAGCTAAATGGACACGAAGCCTCCCCCCAGGAAAGGTAAGGCCAGTGGTCTTCATGCCCCAGCACTCTCCTCTCCTCCCTCTTCCCCCATGCTGCTCCTTGGGGAGACTCTCAGTGAAACATCAGAGCCAGTTCCAGCCCCTGATTCTGTTAATGGCTGCTTTTTTCTAAGAAAAGGTGTTTATCTATCAAATAAATCTATCAGAAATGAAGCCAAATAATCAGTAAATGCTGGGATCTAAGGAGTGGAATGAGTTTTGAAAAAGAAATAAAAAAGAACAGCGGGATCCCATGGTATCTTCTAAAGTACATTCAGATTTAGCTGTGGGAGAAGTGGAAAGATGAGGCTCAATGAGGAGCTCATTGCTTACCCTTTACCAACTAGGTGCAGATTTCTGCTCACTACGCTATGGGCTGGCTCTGATCATGCACTTCTCAAACTTCACCATGATCACCCAGCGCGTGAGTCTGAGCATTGCCATCATCGCCATGGTGAACAGCACTCAGCAAGATGATCCCCTCAATGCCTCTACTGAGGAGCCTCTGACAGACACCTTCCGCCACTCAAGCAGGTCCAGCGAGGACTTTAAAACAAGGGTGAGTGTGATGGACAGCAAGCCTCCTCACTGAAAGAGAGAAAAAAAGAGTTTGAAAGGAATGCTTGGATCTTGATTCTGCAGAGTATAGAAGCATGAAGTATCAATAATGAACTAAAAGGAACTGAAAATATTTTTCTTCAAGAAATTGTCTCTGTAATGATAATAACATTTCATTGAGATTATTTTTATTATCATGTTGGGGAACTGTAGAAAATAATGAAGAATTCTAAAATGGAACAAATAGATTACTGGGTGTCATCAGTGAAAAACTATTTGCTATCTAGGGGATTCTTCCGGGTTACCCAATTCCATTTGGATCTCTGCACCTTTCATTGTTTTTGAGCTGTTTTACTACCCTGTAAATTCTATATAATGAATAAAAAAACAGGTGATTCCTGCCTATAGCTTTGCGGATACATTCTATCCTGAGGGAAATCACAAGTCTCTCCACTCACCAGTCCCATCATGATTGAACAAGCTAGTGTTTCTATCTATCTATCTATCTATCTATCTATCTATCTATCTATCTATCTATCTTTCTGTGAATGTCTTTTCCTTTTTATTTATTGTATATTAGTACTTGTTTGCAGTATATAATGTTTGCATTCCTTATGTGGAGTTGGTTCACATACACAACACATCCCAATTCCTTTGTTCACCTCTCTCCCTTCCCTGGACCCCCTCACCCATCCCAGCCTTCCATCTCTTGATCCTCTTCCAATCTGAGAAAGATCTATCTTCCTACTTCCTAATATCTACCTTTTATTTTGCACTTTATTTACAATTTGAGTATCTCGTATAAGAGATACCATGCAGTATTTAAACTTGTATGTCTGATCTATTTCACTGAATGTTATGGCCACAAGGTGCATGTGCATCTATTTTCTTTAAAATCCATTTCTGCTTTGCTTCCTGTTTATGTGTGTGTGCCTTTTTGAATTCTCCTTTGAACCTGCTGGAACATGTTACTAATTCCTATTAGTCAATGAGTTCACTCACTTCTCTGTTTATGAACCATGGTCTCTAACCTTTTTGACATCAGGGACCAGTCACCTGGAGGACAATTTTTCTTCAGGGTGGGCTGGGGGAGGCAGAGGATATGATGGTTTGGGGATAATTCAAGTGCATTAATTACATTTATGGTCACTTTATTTCTATTATTATTACATTAGATTCTCCTAAGTAGTGAATAACCTTATTCCCTTGCATAGCAGCTCACAGTAGGGATCATGCTCCTGTGAGAATCTAAAGCCCCTGCTGCTGTGACAGGAGGTGGAGCTCAGTCAGTAATGGGAAGGTTGGGGAGCTGCTGTAAATACAGATGAAGCTCTGCTCTGCACAGTCACTGCCCACTGCTCCCTCCAGTTGTACAGCTGTTTTCCTAACAGGCCAGGGGTCTGAGACCCTTGCTGTAAACCATCTTTCATTTCCTGCACATTTCTAGTGTCATCCATGTAATTTGTAATTCATCATTTTATTACATTGGGTACACTATCTATCATTACATTACGTCACATCTTTTTTCTCTCATCCACTGTATTCGTTCACGTGTCTGTGCTCAAGAATCCAGAACACCTTCACGTTGCTAAGCATGCTGTGTTCTCTGTACACACTGCTGCCCCAGAGTCTGGTCTTGCTTCTCAGCACACCCCTCTCTGCTGTGCACGGCCCAGGGAAAGGGCTTGGAACCAGCCAGTCACAGCTACTTTCTGATTGTTTCATATCTTCTCAAATGGTGGACATTCGTTTTTACTGTTTCATCCTATAAGAATGAATTTTACTTTCTCTCTTCACACAAATTATAGTCATTTCTCAAAGGATAATTCTCCTACTGCTTCCTTCCTGGAATCTTCTCAAATTGTTCTTCCCTTTTCTCAAAGTACCTGTTTTATTTGTTCATCCTCAAATAGTCTTTCTTTCTTTCTTTCTTTCTTTCTTTCTTTTTTTTTGGTACCAGGGATGGAACTCAGGACCTTGACCTTGCCAGGCAGGCGTGGAACCACTGAGCTAAATCCCCAGCCCTTCAAATAGTATTTCTAATACAAATTGTATACCTTGCATTTTTTATACTTACTTTAAATTGACAAAATATTTATTAATTTATATTCTTTGCCCATCTAATTTATAACATGAATCCATATGTCTACAGGACTTCCCAAAAGTGTTTATTGAGTTATATCAGGAAGGAAACATGATTTTACTCACTTGAAACATATCTTAGAAACTTGGTTGCATCACAAAAGACCATAATTCTCAAACTTGACTTTTCTTTTCAGTTAGGGGCTGATTTTGGTAAGAGTTCAGTGAAGTTGTACATATTTCATTCTTTCAAATGAGAGTCATTGTCACCCACCTTTTACTGTTGTTAAAGGGCTTTCTTCAACAGATAAGCTGTTGCTTGATGGCTCTTTCTACTTAGTTCTTATCATCCATCTATGTAATTTATCTCCTTTCTTCATTTTCTGTTTCTAACTTTTTTTGGTACTAAATCCCCTGCCCTTCTGTTTCTAATCTTCTACAAGAGTGAAATTAAAGATATAATTAGTTGTTTGTTTGGAAAAGGTAGAATGTCTAAGTTAGGTTAAAAAAATGGAGAAATGGGGCCCAGATTTAGCTCAGTGGTTCCAGCACCTGCCTCTAAAGCGCAAGGTCCAGAGTTGGATCTCTGGTACCAAAACAAATGGAGCAAAACTAAAATAGATATTTTGTAAGAGTCTCACCAACCCTAGGCAAGTCTGTAGAGAGTAGATTTTGATAAAATAATTCTTAGCAAATAGATTTTCTTCTTATTTTTTCCAGGCATCTGTGTATCAATGGAGCCCAGAGACCCAGGGCATCATCTTTAGCTCCATCAGCTACGGAATAATACTGACTCTGATCCCAAGTGGATATTTAGCAGGAATATTTGAAGCAAAACAGATGCTTGGTGCTGGTTTGCTGATCTCGTCCCTTCTCACCCTCTTTACCCCACTGGCTGCTGACTTTGGGGTGATTTTGGTCATTGTGATTCGAACAGTGCAAGGCATGGCCCAGGTATTCAAGCACTTTCTCATTCTGAGTGGGATACAGATCCCCAAATTCTGCAAAAGAGCAAATGTCTTCATGATTTTCATTTCAGGGAATGGCATGGACCGGCCAGTTTACGATTTGGGCAAAATGGGCTCCTCCGCTGGAACGGAGCAAGCTCACCAGTATTGCAGGATCAGGTAAGGATGATTGTGGCATCGCGTTGTTTTGCACGGCTCTGTCCTTCTATGTCTTTCTATGAATCAGACAGCTTGAGGAAGAGGAAGAATAGGTGCTGCTGAAAAACTCAATGATACAAGATAGCTACATAACAATGATACCTCTGTGTTGTAAAGACACTGAGGCTGAGAAGCAGAAAAGACTATAGTGAGCTAGGGCAGTTAAAACATCCATGTGAGAAAAAGGTTATAGCCTTAAGTGTTGCATAAGTGGAAAAAATCAAAAGGACATTATAAACAGAGTTATAGAAAAAATTCTGAAGTAAAAATTATGACTATCAGCTGAAAAGTAGAGTTTAAAGAGTCTGCAGTATTCTGAGCTCTTTTTTTTTTTCCTGAGCTAATTAAGTCTCACAAGAACCCTCTTATGTAAAAACTAGTTTGGACTTATTTTCTAAGAGGAGAATTATGGGATGTAGAGGTTAAGTAAATAATGCAAATACAAATAGCCAGGAGGGAGTAGAACTGAAATTGGAACCCAGGCAGTTTGGTTGGTTTCAGAATCCATACTCTAATCGTGGTGCTAGATGGCCCTCCATAGTGCTCCACACAAGGCCACTACCATCTTACTCTGCTGTTTTCCCCAGCTTCCAAGCTGAGAGTACATAGTTGAGGAACAGCAGCAGCATCTCAGTAAGCTTCTCACTCCCAAGTCCACACATAACCATGTCTTGTAGACTTTTGCCTCTTAGCACCCTCCTGCTTTCTTGCTTCCTCCCAGCACAGCTGTTGTCACCTTCTCTATTTCCAAATGCTCTTAGTGGTCTGTCTCCTCCAGGTTGATTTCTCTCATCTGTCTCTTCCCATCAAAGTCAACCTATCTTCTTAAAGCACAGATGGGACATTTTCCTCACTTGCTTGAGAATTTCAGTGTCACCTTATTGTGCAGATATCAAGATGCTTTGCTGTCTGATCCCAACCTGCCTTCCATTCAACTTCCCTCTGCAAGCAAGACTCGCTATTCCCTGTATATTTGCATTTATTCTCCTAGGCTCTCCTCCCATGGCTTCATATCCCTGAAAAGTTTTTTGATACCACTCTTCTCACCAAAAGTCCAGCTATCTTATTTCTTAGCTCATATAGCAACTCTTTAATCTTATAATCATTATTAATTTATCCTCATGTGTATTTCTATAGCACGTTTTAGTTTTATTATCATATTTATATTCTACACTCTTTTTCAAATTGGAGATTGGCCCCATTAGTGGGATATTAAATTAATTTAGTAGGTAAAGAAAGGAGTATTTTAAAAAGAAGGGTGAATAAAAGATAATAGAAAATGTTGGCATGTTTGCACATAGCAAAGCTAAGTATTCACTCATGAAACTTGTTTGAGGTGTTGGGTGTGGTTGTGTGTACAAGTGTTTGTGCACATTTTTTGTGTTGTTTTGCCATGCAAAATGTATTTCATAATGTGAGTCTGTAAAATGTTGTCATTGTTGTTGTTGTTTAAACACAGACTCCAAAGTTTGCATTGTGTTACACTTGTGACAGTAATTTTTATTCACTTTTTCTCCACTGGACCAAAAGCTCTTTGAGGACAGGGACTGTTCTTTGTTAATTTTTATAAACCTTTACATTTCTCCACTGAATCTCTTATTGCATCATGTCATAAGGTGATTCTGTGATAGCAGTTGCTGTGATAAACTAAGGGATTTAGAGTAGGTCACATTGGTGCTGAGGCATCATTGAATTAGGTGGCATACCACAATTATTTACTAATTCTAATTACTTTCCATGATGTTTCCATGATGGGAGGGATGTGAGTAGGGGCAAATACTCTCAACACCCAGTAATTCTATGTCTGCCACCTCAGGGTTGAGACAGTGTCCAGAGAGACCACATAGAAGCAGCCTTAGCTATTTGCATAAGTGTTTTTCTCTTTGTTCTCTTTAGGGGCAGCATTTGGGTCCTTCATTATCCTCTGTGTGGGTGGACTAATCTCACAGGCATTGGGCTGGCCTTTCATCTTCTACATCTTTGGTGAGTCACTCTCTGAAACCCTAGCGACTCTATTGCCCAGGAATTTGTTTTATTCTTCTTATATTAATAAGAAGATGTATTAATATTATATTAATGTATTAATATTATATTAATAAGAAGAATCTATTTGTTAAATAGAAAGTGACGAAGAATTTGAGGATTAGTAGCATTCAGAATCTAGTCACACAAGTTGACCTAATACTGTCTGATGGTTTTGACAATCCACATGCACATGGCAGAGGAGATAATTCTTCTCATGGTGCCAGCTTCTGCGAAATCAGTAGTGAAAGCTTATCCTTCTACCTCCAGCATCTTCTCAGACTCTGTTATCATACTTGAAGTGCCTGTTTAAATGATCAAATGTATACAGTTAAAATGTCAAAGTTGGTTGAGTTCACCTTCAATATGTCTTCATATTGTGTTATATAATTATTAACTCTGCCTAAGATAACGTAACCTATTGTCCACCAAGTGGATCTTGCAAGGGTCAATTCAAATGTCCCCTTCTCCATGGGATCTTCCAGACAGATTTGACAGATGTGAGCATTCTGTCCTATGTAATCCTTACTGCTAATTCCTTTCTAGGTTATGTTAATGTGTAATCATTTATTTTTTCTTCTCATCTCTCCATTAGGCTGTAAAATACTTGAGGCAAGGGATCAATTATATAATTTTTATCACTTTAGCATCTGCATCTTAGCTTTAAAATAAAAGATGGATGAATCTAGTAAGAGAGGGAATTTAAAGACCATTAGTGTCCCCAATTTTTTTTTTTTTTGGTGCTGGCGATCAAACTCAGGTCCTTGCGCTTGTGCAGCAAGTGGCGAAACCACTGAGCTAAATCCCCAGCCCTCCCAAATATTTTAATAAAGAGTATTCTTTAGCAGGGCATTTAGCTCAGTGGTGCAGCACTGCCTGCCTCGCAAGCACAAGGTCCTGAGTTTGATCCCCAGTACCACACACACAAAAAAAGATTAATAGAGTAATCTTTAAAAGACAAATTGCAGTAATGAGACAAAGTTCTACAGATTGTTATTTTCTTATAGCCAAATGATGTCTTTGAATTTAGTTCCAGCTTGGATGGCTTTCCCATTAAGGATGCTAATCCCAGACATCTTGTTTCACAAATGTTAATCAGGTGTTGTCAAGAAATATTCTATCAGAGACTCCATAATGGATATTATTTGTGGTTTGAATACAAATACAAATTGATTGGACATTTTCCTTGCCACACTGACTTCATGGCTGGTTGTTCTATGTATGTCCAACTGTCTTTGTCTTTTATTCTGACTATTCAGCACTTCCAAAACAAGACAATGAGTTTACTAAGAAGTGAAAAACACAAAATATAAAAATGGAATTTTAAGAGTAATTAATGAGCCATGCAATGGCATTTTCATGTTCAGGCCTCTGACATTGACAAAGGTAACTCAGAATTTGAGAGATGGCATCTGAAAAGCTTTGACAAAAAGAGGTTCATAAGATGGAGAGGAAGAAATGGGAACATTTAGATCCTTGTGATGGAATAATCATGAAGTGACATGCATGGTAGACAAAGAATACTTCAGAAGAACTTCTCTTTCCCCAGTACAGAAATCTATCTGAAAACTAATTGTGTCCATACTTCCCAGGTAGCATTGGCTGTGTCTGCTGTCTACTGTGGTACACAATGATTTATGATGACCCTATGCATCATCCGTGCATAAGTGCCAGGGAAAAGGAGCATATTGTGTCCTCTCTGGCTCAGCAGGTACTGTGTTCCCACTCCTTCCACCTGTGGAGCACCCAGACATCTCCAGGGCAGGACATGTGTCCCCTGGGAGAGGCAATCTCTGGTCTGTTCTAAGCCACATGTTCATTAGCTATTTCCTTTCAGCCCAGTTCTCCTAGACGATCTGTCCCCATAAAGGCTATGGTCAGATGCCTACCACTTTGGGCCATTTTCACTGGGTTTTTCAGCCATTTCTGGTTATGCACCATCATCATCACATACCTGCCGACGTACATCAGTACTGTGCTCCATGTTAACATGAGAGACGTAAGTGTACTTCCCATTTCCATAAAATTGACAATAATGGCAATTGTTTTGTGCTGCCTCTTGAATTCCAGCTTTGCATATTCATTTAACTTTCACAATGACCATGGAGAGGTACTGTACCAATTCCCATCTCACAGATATTGAAATGGGACACTGAGAGGCAGGAGAGCTAGCCTTGGGTCAGTCACACAGTTCCTAAGGGGTAGAGCTGCGTTCTACCTCTGACCACTACGACTTACTGCCACACCAGCTGGTTCCAAAGTCTCCCTTAGAAGTTAATGTTGCTTGCCTCTGGATTCCAGCACAGTGCAAGTGCTGGTGCTCCTCCCTCAGACAGTTGTGTTCCATGATAAATGATGCCAATTTCCCTCTGGCATCTTAATGTTGGGGGATAAGCTGGTGGTTGGTCTGCATTCCTGATAAATGTTGATGCCATATGCACTTCTGGAATTACTCTGTGTACTTTTCTTCCCTCAGAGTGGGGTTCTGTCTTCCCTGCCATTTGTTGCTGCTGCCAGCTGTACAATTTTAGGAGGTCAGTTGGCAGACTTTCTTCTGTCCAGGAATTTTCTCAGCTTAATCAGCGTGCGAAAACTCTTTTCATCCTTAGGTAAGAATAGGTATGTGGGTTCAATTAATCAGTCCTACATGATCTTAACAGGCTCTTGACATCCTGTCCTCATTGTCCAGGCCTCCTTCTTCCATCGCTCTGTGCTGTGGCCCTGCCCTTTGTGGCATCCAGTTACATGACAACCATTATTTTGCTGATACTTATTCCTGGGACCAGCAACCTGTGCGACTCAGGGTTTATTATCAACACCCTAGATGTTGCCCCCAGGTAAGAGCTTCACCTGAGTTTCCCTCCTCCGGGTCCCTCCAGAGGTGCTGGACCTCAATCATCACCATGCAAAGCCCTCCTGTTACTGACATGCATTACATGATGGCAGAATGACAAGTAACAGAAATGTCAGTGCACGGCCATGACCTAATGTGGTAATGAGAGCAACATTTTCCATTCCTGTCTAGTAACCACTTAGATAAAAAAGTTTCTCAAGCTTTCTGACTAAAGATTAGACTGCATGTTTTGGCAAAAGGCCCACGGATATATGTTTTGGAAGTTTCCTGGGTGTTGATCATATTAGCTACTTGCCATGAGCCAACTCCAGTGCTAAAACCCTCTCAGAATCAACATATCTAATCCTTTCAATTACACTGGGCAGATCTTGTTGCTCCCTCCCAGGCCAGAGGGAGAGGACTGAGGCATGTGAGGGTTAAGTCATATTCCTGTGGCCACACAGGGCAGAGGCAGGATTTGGACCTATGCAGTCTGGCTTCAAAGTCTACATCTTGTCCTGCCCATGGCACACAGTGTATCCTGTGCTGAGCAGTGAGGTGGAAAAACCCGGTTCCCACAGAGATTAGTTTTTGAGTTATCCTATTGACTCAGCAGACAGGTGATTTGGGGGTTGGCAATGAGGAAGTGCAGTAAGCAAAATGACTTTGTCATTAGAGGTGAGCTTCATTCAAACTGAGTTGTTGTGATGGCAAATGTGATGTTCTATGAAAAACTGAGTATGAAATCTTCTCCATAGATATGCGAGTTTTCTCATGGGAATCTCAAGAGGATTCGGGCTCATTGCAGGAATTGTCTCTTCCACGACTACTGGATTCCTTATCAGTCAGGTTGGGCATGTTATTGAACATCTTCAAGTGGCAGGTATTGCTTTAGGCATTGGAGAAATATGCTGTGGTCTCAAGATGGTATGGACTGATGGAGAAAGTGAGCACCAGCCACGCAATTGCTCAGATTATGCAAACCTCTAGATCAGACCCTGCTGGGCAGGCTTCCTAAGAGAAGAAAAATAAAAGCTGGATTTCTCCAAGTGAACAGATGCTCAGTTCATGATAACCAGCTGTTTGGGTTCAGAAGACAGCATGCTCCTTAGAGGCAAAAAGCATGAGAGAATTCCCAGTTATGACCAGAGTGGATGAGCCCTCTCAAGAACATAGCAGGGAAGAGGAGGATCACAAAGAATCTCTCCAGCTTAATCCCAATTTTTAAAAAATCATAAAAGAGGGCCCGGGATTTAGCTCAGTGGTTTCACTGCCTGCCTTGCAAGCGCAAGGACCCGAGTTCAATCCCAGGTACCAAAAAAAAAAAAAAAAAAAAAAAAAAAAAAAAAAAAAAAAAAATAAAAGGGAAAACATGTGGTCCCAAGGCCAGTTTAAAGAGAGGTTGACCTGAGGGCAAAGAGAGGGGCTGTGAGCCATGCAGAAACACTGAGTCTTGCACAGGGTAGGCAGGAGGATGAAAGGGCAGAACCAGTTTGAAGGGAAAAGTAAGGAGAGTCAATCGCAAAGCAAAATTTTGTTTTGTTTTTAATAAATCTCTATGTGACCTAATTCCAAGGTTGGCAAATTTTTGTTTATTTGTCATCAAATTTCTAAGAATGCAAGGTGAAATGAACTATGACACACTAGGGTCTGGGTGAGGATGGTCACTCAGCAGATCACATAGGACCCCTGTTGTACTGAGATGTCCACCAAAGGGATTGTGGTTATTAGTGTCTACAGCTAGAAGCAAACATGGGATATTAATGATTCTGTCTTCAGTATAATTCATAATGTTTTAATGAATGCTGAGATCCAAATTTCAAATAAAACATCAGTACAATTTAATTTATTTTTGTTTAAAGAATTAGCCATCCCAACTGAGAACCCAAGATGCATTTTGGAGATATTTTGTTTCCAATAGTATCATGAACCTTCTTTGATAACTTAAGATGTCCAGTGTCTGTTGTGTATTGTTGCTTAAATACTTTGTGACTAGAATTGAAATACACAAGAATAGAGAATTTCTATAACC